ATTGGTGTTCCCTTCTTTTAATGAGGCTTTTATCTTTTGCTATCAATGAAACCACTCTGTCCAACTTTTTCTTTCACCTTCTGGTCATTTTTTTCTCTGACTGCTTTTTAGGATCCCATTCCTATGTTTACGTAGCACACATTATTGTTTCTCAGTTCTGTCTCAGTCCTCTTATTTTCTCAAGCTCTGCTCTTTCTCTTAATGATTCCAACCACTTTCAGGGTTGAGCTTTTTTCTTTCCATATCATCTTTTGGATTCTGACCCATATGGCCACTGCTTGCTGGATGACTTCAGATGATATAGTTATTGTAGATTCCATGTACTTAGAACAGAAGCCAGCAACTCCTCCCTCAGGTCTCCTCCTCTTTCTGGGTTCCCTAGTCAGACACCTGACTGTCACCTTTGACCCGCTGTCTCTTGCACTTCCTATATCAAGTCAATCACGGAACTGCCAAATCCACCTCCCAAATCTATCTGTAGTAAGCTCATTTCTCCATCCCCAGAGCCGTAACCATAGTCAGATCAACCTCATCTCTATTTTACATTGCCCAAGTGGATATTGGGGCTGTAAGTAGTTCCTTGTATTTTGGGCTGCAATGATTCCTAATTCTAGAAGGATGCCTAAATACATTCTTGGCACTTAAGGAACCACAGTTCTTAGGTTAAAGTTATCACTGCCTTTTGGTGTAGAGAAAAAAGTATACAAATGAAGAGTTAACGATAAGGATTCTGAGAATTATTTTACAAAGCACTAAGTAAGATCTCTTAGAGGAGGCTAAACATTCATCACTTATGATGAAGAAGACAATAATTATGAGTTATTTTGAATAGATTACAAAATTCAATAAGGGATCTACTTTCACCAGGAATTTGAGAATATTGAACATCTTTGAATGGAGTGGCTATAGCAAATTGTCCAAGGGGTTAATTTTGAGCTGTGACAAGAGGAATAGAAAACTGTTTCCCTGGGACAGACTAGAAAATTGATAAGAGCCTAGGAAAGAAGAAGAGTGTGGGTCTTCTTGCACACTTGTTTTGCATGGATGGAGATGAAGTTTGTGCATGAAAATGTGCAGGGATTGGTGAGACTGGCCTTTGCAGGCCCTCAGAGAATACTAATTTGAATTTTTCCTGAAGGTGACACAAAATTGTGGAAGTATCCCAAGCAGAGAAATTATAAGACCAAAACTGTGATTTAGAGAAGCACTATGGGCAGTAGTCTGGAGGATGGGGAGAAGTGGAGAACAGAGGGAGGACAGTTCGGTGTAACCATTCTGGTAATCCAGGTGACGTGGATAGGAAATGGAATCACTCATTTTTAAATGGTGAATTCATTGGACAGAATTACCACAATGCATTTAGCCCTTCCCACTTCAATGTGTGCTGCTTTCAAGTTTTTACTATAACAGAGGCGGTATTGAACATGCATACAACTTTATATATTTAGTATTATAGTCTTAGAACAAATTGCCAGAAGTAGAATTAGTAGTTAACAGGTATGGATATTTTTAGATTAGTCTATGGGAGTTTGCGATGTGTTCTTTCAAGGATCTCTTCTGTAAATATTTTGAATACATTTTCCTCCATTTTTCTTTGAAGAGCACACATTAGGGAAACTGAAGGCACATTCATATTCTTTTACACCTGGTAATCATTGATCATTTTTTACCATTATTTCTAACAGAGATTAAAACTTTATGAAATTTTTTTTGGGTTGCTTTTTCTGTCATGCACCCCTATCATTAATGAAATCAGAGTGTTTGGTAAATGCTTTAATGATTATATTTCAGACTGTAGCCAACATACAGAGGTCAAAACAAAGGTTTTTAAAGTATTGATAGTAAAAAGGTAGCTGTTAGAGAAAATTAAAAGCAAATGAATAAAATCAGTGATATTTAGATTCTGAATAACACCAGTTAATACATTGAAAGGAAACTTACTAGGTCAAATGAGGGTCTAAATTTAAAGGTTGGCAGGATCCCTTTAGATGAAGCCTCTTTTAGTTAATTTGATCAAACCACTGCGTTGAAATGCAAAATGACAAACTTGTATTAAACCATAAAACAACTTTCAAAAGAAACAATGTGATGAGAAAAACTTGAATAATGAAAATTCTTGTGATATGAAACATTCTTTAAGGCCAGGCCCATGTATGAGACAAAGGAGTCATCTAATGGAATGAGAGCAGAAACATTTCTGAAGCAGGAAAAGCTTCTCTGTTGGAAATGTCAAATCAAGTTTGGGATCAACCTGTTGTAGTAGAATTTTGAGATTTTCTAAATTAAGCACGAATTAGATTTGCATATTTATGCCATGAGATCAAAATGAAATTGCATAACTGTGCTTATGCTTCCGGTTCTTCCAACCCGGTTTACTTCACCTCTGTCTTCAGCTTAAGTGTCGCTTCTTCTTTTTAAGCTTGCCCTAGTTTCCCTGGCTGTGTAAAGACTATTTATAAAATACTGTGCCTGTTTAATAATAATACTAGAGTCCGAGCATGAGCATATCAGTCACAGTACCCTCTCTGAGAACCCTCAGACTGCTTGATATACCCTAACCTCTCTGAGAGGTTCTCCTAGTTTATTGTTCAGAATCTAGAGCTATTCAGGTAAAGGATTAGGTCCTGACTCAGTAAGAGCCATCGCCCATGAGTTAGGGGTCCATGTGGTAATCTAGAATGAGGTATGTCCCCAACAGAGATCCCCAGTAATGCATGGTGCTTAGGTAATAATAATCAGGATTAACATTTGTTTAGTACTTACTATACATAAGGCACTGCTTGTCCAACATAATGGTGCAAGCAGGAGATTCGTAAATTGGAACTATATTACTGAATGCATGAGAAATGGTGAAAACTTTCTAAACTAGTCAGTAAGCAGGTGCTGATAAGAGTCCCTTAAGGTTCCTCCCAACTCTCTTAACTTCTGTGACTATCCTACTAATCCTCTTGGGCATTTGGGCCTTTCCAGGATCCATCAACTAACAGAAGTGAAATTTCCTCCACTTCTGGTAATAATGATGTGGGAACCTCCTTAGAGAATTCCCATTCTTCCTTGGCAGTCATATGACCTTGAATAAATCACTTAACCTCTGTGGACCTATATCTGCTTTGGCAAAATGTAGGTAATTATAAATGTTCTCTTGATGTTGTTATATTAAATGAAATATAAAGTATTGCCTGGTAATGAAAATACTTATAAAATATGAATATATTTGCTGGGTATATTTATATTTATAGCAGTGTCTACAGATAAAAAGAACAAGGCTCCAGAAGTACTTGCTACTTAGTGGGAAAGTCAGAACCCAAACTTTGTGAATCTTGGCTAGTAGGCTTTTTTACTGAAACATTATCATATTGTAACCAAATATAACTGAGAGATTTAGGAGAATGAAAACATTCTACTGGGGGCAGGGTAACCCAGGGATACAATAAATTAGGTTCAGCTGTTAGAACTGTGTCTATACTTTGATCATCCTTGTATATAAAAAAAAATTCAAAGGACTGAACTAAATGTATTCTTCATTTGAAAAAAAAATTCTTTTGAACATCTATTACAGAATCAGAGGCATGTATTATGACTTAGTTCTTGGGCTTTTATTGATGAAAATCTCAGGTTAGTAACTAGGTGAATTTGAATTGTCTTTGTTTTTTTCTTAAACTTTCCCTTTTGATCTGGTTTATATGAAAGCAGGTGAATGTTATTAAAATGAACTTCCTGTAAACGAGAATCTCTGGCATTTAGGAAGTGGAATGACATTTTGAAACTGGAAGACCTGTTTGTAAACTGCATCTCTCGTTCACTCTTGTGGCCTTGGACAAGTCATTCTGGGTCTCACTTTTCTCATTTGTAAAACAGAGATTCTATTTAGGGTTATGCTGAAAAATGTGCCTGACAAAGTGCTCAGTTTTAGCACATTGTTATTGAATTACAGGTTAGAGTTTAAAGCTGAGAGAAATCTTAAAGTCTGTTTCATTTGATTCCTTTAATCTGTATGTGAGAGGATCCCCAACAGGTAAAACAAACACAAATGTTAGTCTGTTCAATTTCCTTTCATTTTTATATACCTGACCAAATATTTCATTTCTAAATAAGACTTCTTCTTCTTCTTCTTCTTTTTAAAGACTTTTTTTTTTTTTTTTTTTTGAGAAAGAGTGAGAGAGCACAAGTGTGCGTGCAAGAGGTGGGGAGACTAGAGGGAGAGAATCTTCAAGCAAACTCCCTGCTGAGCCCAATGCTGAGCTCGGGCTCAGGACCCATGAGACCCAAGCCAAAACCAAGAGTCAGAATCTTAACTAACTGCGCCACCCAAGCACCCTTAAGCAAGACTTCTTAATAAAGTTAGGGTCATGTATTGGTAAAGACACAAAAAATGCAATTACTTAATGTGTATTTCTGGCAATGTCATTTTAGAAATGGTGACTATGTACAATAGGCAACCAAATCACTTTCAGAATTCTATCAGAAGTGTATTGGAAAAATATTTATTTTTAAGATTTTATTTATTTATTTGATAATAAATAAATAAATAAACTACTATATCTCACAATAAGTATCACATCATCCAAATATAAAATTATTTGGAGTAAAAAGGACCACAATTTTCTAAGATGTGAGATTTTAAAATGACAAAAAAGATTTTGTCCTATGAAATATATCTTTTTAAGCATAGTAACAATAATAACAAAGTGTCCTAATTACACATAAATACCAGTTAAATTATTTTTTCTCCTTTTAGCTTTTGGAGGCTGAATTGATATTGACAAATGAGTACAGCTGTTCCCCAGAAACCACTCTGGACACGTATTTAGAAGTTGCTCCAAGATATGGAATCTTTCAGAATCTGCTCTTCAAAAAGATAATAGCTCAAAACATTTTAGATTATAGTTTTGACCCTGCCCCTGCCCCTTACTTCCGCTGTCTTCAAACTACAATGAGAGTTTGTAAAAAAAACATAAAAATACCAATGTCAGCTTTTCTTATTCTTATTTGTTTTTCAGTGTTAGCTTTTGTGTTCTGGGAAGTCAGGGGTGATTCTGCCCACTGTTGGTGCAGAGATGTCTCTCCTCTTCACTCTCCGCTCCTGCTTCACTGCCCTGCTCCTTGCTGGGAATAGTCCTTGACAGGTCCGTCTACCAAGGAATTCTGTCAAGGATTAGAACTAGATTGTAAAAGTTAGATTGTTTTGTTTTAAAATATCTTTTAGATTTTCCTAGGCTATAAAGCTGTTTGAGTATAACACTTGTTTTACATATGCAAAACAGTATTTTATGAATGCAACTGTTTTTTGAAGTAAATATTGATGTAGTAAGGATGGGGTAAGAGAAAAGAACAAAACTGAATTCTTCAGGTACTTGTGCTTCTGATCAAAAGATTAGAGATTCTAAAAAAGATGGAACTCATAAAAAAAGGACTTTGTAGCTGAAATGGATTTGGTAAAATATTTTTAGGAATTGATAATATAAAATATCCCAGAGTAAAAAAAAAAAAAAAAAAGAATAGAAATCTTCACTTATTGGACAAGATCTTAATTTATTTAATGACACTACTATGCCATATATAAAAAGGAATACAGAATATCCTGACTATAAGCAGAATATTGGGCTTCTTAATTTTGAATTATTCAAGAGCACATGGAGGTGACAAAATTTACCTCATTATCAAAGTCTTTTATATGCACTTGAAAACTTAGTTCTCCAATTGTCATACTTTCTTGACATGCAAATTTAGTTGCATGCAAGATCTGTTATTTGCCTTTTTGTCTATGAATTATTACAGGATACGAGAGATGAAAGTAATGAGACTGAAGCCAGCAAGATGAGTAAATTAAGAAGAACAAGAAAGAAAGTCACAAAACATGTTTTCTCAACTGAAATAGGAGAAATGGATATATCCAACTCAAAAGGTATCTTAGCTATTATGATCTCTCAGGAATATGATGCCAATAACAATCTCTATTTTGTTCTCCTTTTCATAAAACATTTTCTTTTCATCAAAGGGAGAAGCAAAAACAAAGACCTAAAATTTATTTCTACATAGACAACATAAAAGATAGCAAATGTCAAGGTATAACATAAATATGTAAAATTAACCAATCAAAATATTCAGAATTGAAAGGGAGCAGAAGTAGGATGGCAGTGAGGGGGAAAAAAAAGAAAGAACACAACAGAAGGATCATATATTGAAGAAGAGAAGCATATTTCTGCTCCAAGACCGAGTGTAAAGATCATTACGATGGATTTGGGAGACCATAGTAAAGATGTGGAACAAGTTTTCGTATCACATGTTGGATTTCCAACTAAACTCAATAGATTCTGAAACAGTGCTGAAACTAGGAGATAATCAAACAACAAGAGACTTAATCCAGGAACAGTGGTGTTCCAAGGCAGGGGTAATAGGAATGGTCAGTGCACGGTAATGGTAAAAAGCAACCAGAGTTTAAATTTTCTACCGACAACACACCACTTTATGGCCCACGACCAGTGCAGGTCATTCCCACTGCCCTTCGTTTGGTATGTCACTGCCCAGGAATAAATTATTTTCTCATGTTAAAAGACAGTTGAAAACAAAGGCAGTGTGTTTTAACATTATTCCATTCTTTATTAAAGAAAGGATCAGAAACCAAATGGTGCGCCACAAGTTGGAGGATGTGAGCAAACCACTTGTGGGAGCTGGCTCCGCAGACTCCTATCTGCCACAAGATGACAAGGACTCCGAGAATCAGACAACAGGGATAAAACCATCACCCCTCAAAACTTCAGCCAGTGCTCCTTGTCGTGAATTTAACACAAACTCCAACCATACTGGTAAGGGCGCAGAAACAAACTGACAGGAGATTCTAGCCACTAATCCCAAATTTGTATTTAAATTAATGTTAACGTGGCATGGATTGAGGAATGGTCATCTGGGAGTCAGAAGAATTTATATACCTATTGTTTATAAAGGGCTATATAGTTTTCTTTAACTACTAGGCTGCTCATCTAGAAAATGGAAGGGTTGCAATGGATGATCTTTCTAGTCTTTTCTAAAAGTGAAATTTTGTTATTCTAAGTTTCTGGCTTATTAACAGTAATACAACGATTTTGGCCTATCAGTGTATTGGCCAAAAATCTCTGGGATCCAAGTTGAGTGAAACTAGTTAAAATGAGGTATTTATTCCATAAGGGAATCCATCATGAAAGGGTTGAATAAACAAGGTTTGGAAAGACAGAAATATAGCAGCATGTGAACTTAGAAGGACAGTGTCCACCAGGCTACCCTCACTAGTGACACCAATTGCAAGTTAGGGAACTCCCCAAGACTATCCCTAGTTTTGATAATTTGCTATAAGGACTCACAGAAGTCACTGAAAAGTCTTATACTCAAGGTTATGGTTTATTACAGTGAAAGAATACAGATGAAAATCAGCCAAGGGAAGAGACCCAGCAGGGAGAGTATAGGAAAGTTCTAAGCATAGAGCTTCCATTTGTCTTCTCCCAGTGGTGTCATGGATAGCACCACTCTTTTGGCAATGATATGTGACAATATATGTGGGGTATTGACAACCATGGGATGCTTGCCTGAGTCTTGGTGTCCAGAGTGTTTTTTTAGGGGGAGGACTCCATAGTGGGGTTTCATGTGGCTGACCTCAGTCTCTGGCTTCCCTGGGAGTCAAGCTGATATCACATGACTCAAAGCTCCCAGAATAAATGACATTATTAGATTTTCTAGTGTGACCCAGAAGCCCCAGGTAAACTAAGACTCTCTTGTCAGGCAGGACATTCCAGATTATCTCCCAGGAGCCAAGGGTAAAGAGGTCTCCATTGGCAAGGTTAACTTCTTTATGACACACAGGGCTTAAGGAGGAGCCAGAGCCTGGGAAGTGAATACTGTCAGGATTCCATATGTCAACTGGGATGTCTCAGCTGGTTTCTCTGATTCAGATTTTGCAAGGTTGAAGTCAAGGTGTTAGCCATCTGTGTTCTTATCCAAGACTCTAGGGAGTGCTCAGATTGTTGGGAGAATCCAGTTCGTTGGGGTTGTAGGATTGCTGACTGTCCACTGGGGTGGCCCTTAGCTCCTGGAAACCTTGCTCTGGTCTGGTGTCTCAGGACTAAGACAATCCCTCAAATACTTAATGTTTGGAACCTCTTGAAATTCTCCTTTCATACCTCTTTTCTGCCTACAGCTGGAGAAAGTTTGCTGCTTTTAAGAATTCTGGATAATCCAAGACAATATCCCTATTTTAAGGGTTATAGCCTTATTTGCATTTGCAAAGTCCCTTAGGGCCTGCAGTTTGACATATTATACAGGTTTCAGGGTTTAGGATGTGAACATCTTTGTGGGCTGTTCTGCCTACCACAGCGTCTCTCATCTGTGCGTTTCTGTGTGCGTTGGCTTTGTGAAATTCTCCATGAAATGGAGATGAATGAGCACTGACAGCCTAGCATCAGACGCTACCAATCCAAATACCACAGGGGCCAGGTAAATAATGCAAATGACTGAGATGGCTAGTGGAAGGAACTAGTCAATGGGGCTGGCTTGTGAGAAACTATCGCAGAGGTTGACAACTGGCCCACAGGCCAGATTCAGTCTGCTGGCTGTTTTTGGTAAATAAAGTTTATGTATTGTCTATGACTGCTTTCGTGTTACAATGGCACAGTTGAGAAGTTGCAACAGAGACCAAATGGCTTACAAAAGTGCAAATATTTATTATCTGGCCCTTTAGAGAAAACGTTTGCCAATCTGTGGATTAGAGGAGACATGCCCATTTCAGGCCACCTCAGACCTCTAGCCAGTGGTGACTATGGAGAAATAACCGCTCAGTGTTACCAAATTTAGTTTCTTTAAGAGAAGCTTGAACTCAAGATTTTTGTACAAAATTTTCAGAAATATATAGGTGTTGACTATTAAAAATGTTTTCAAACACTGGGACAACTAGTAAGAAAGTATCTCCAGACCACCTTGGTTCTTCTGCCATTTGTGACCCTTGTTTTATATAGACTCAGCCATAAAACAGATGAAATTGACCATTTCCTAGTCTTATATCAAAAGAATCTGAAGAACAAACTCATGTGGTGAGCTCTCTTTGCACCAACAGACTGTGACTAAGATAATGGGTATCATTATTAACCTGACTTGGTTCGTTCAGAAGCTCCCTCCTTTGGCCCCAGGCTAGATTAAGCTTTTTACAGGCCCAAAGCACCAACAAGTTGATAGCTTCAAAAAAATCATCAATACAGAATTTAAAGATAAATATGAAAATATACTCCTCAATCAGTGTTAAAATTTTGACATTGTGTTTTCTTCTCTGTGATACCACTTTGCTTTAAAAAAATTTTTTTTTTTTTCAAAGAAAAGCTCCTCCTCCCCACTTTTTTATTGTTTTTGGTTTTGTTACTGCTTTTACTTGGTTATTCTGTCACCTGGGCTAACATGATATGGCTGGAGACTGGGGTCACACTTGCTCTGAGAGGGTGTCTCTCAGACTAGCCACGTGGATGAAGGAAGGCAGGCTCTGGGAAAGGAGTTTGGCAGATCATCCCAGGCATTCCATAAACTCAGTGTATTGCAGAGTACATTCTTGAATGTACTTTTCTCTTTTTGAGTTGGTATTTCTGAAAGCTCAAATGCCTATTTCATCTGCCTTTTATAAGTGACCATGGCTTGTTCTCTATGACTGAAATAGGTCCTATTGTCACTTGAACACAGACAACATTTCTCCAAGGCCTTCTAATTGCTATAGAGCTTTGAGGTTTTATTTTAACTTTTAACTTTTTTTTGTTAGTGTTTTCTTATTTTTTTCCTTGTAAACACTCACAGTAGGAAAATTTTCTCTGTAAAAGCAGATTGATTTAATTTATTGGTTCTCTGAGGGGATGGGAAAGGAGAACACCTCCCAGGAACCATATTGTAAGAAAAACAAATGAGTCCCTGAACTAGCAATTATCTGCCCGCTATTCATCATGTGCATCTGGGAAGGTCTGACCAAAAGGTTTAATTGTAACTAACAAGTATGATTTATTTGAAGAAAAGAAATTCAGACAATGATTCAGTAAGATTAGTTGATTCCTTGAAAATGAAATTAGATTGGATAGAGTTCTCATATTTGGTGAAAGAATTAAACTTTCAAATGAATGAGATGGTACTTAATATACTCACTGAAATATGTGATACCAATTCCACTAGTTAATTAGACAAGGTCAAATCACCCAGGGTGTATTAATTAATTAATTTACCCACACACCCCCTTATTAAAGGAATAGTCATTGAGCATCTATGATATGTCTGTATGGCTGCAAGTACTGGGGATATAGCAGCCAGTAAACTTGAGCGCCTTTTCTCCTGACATCCTTGAATTGACATGCGAGTGGGGAAGGACAGAAAATAAGCACATGATTTTACAATATGGTGGGTGGTGATGAGAACTCTGAAGAAAATGGAAATGGGATGATATATTATTATGGGTTGAATTGTGTCTCCCCTAAATTCATAGGTGTTTGGAGTCTTATCCCCTCATGCCTCACATGGTGTTTGTATTTGGAGATAGAGTTTTAAAAGAAGTAATTAATGTTAAATGAGGTCTATAGCATGGGCCCAAATCCAGCATGACTGGTATTCTTATATGAAGAGAAGATTAGAACACGCACAGAGGGAAGATCACGTGAAGAAGAAAGCAATTTATTAGCCAATGAGAGAAACTCTCAGAAGAAACCAACACTGTTGACACTTGGACCTTTGACTTCTACCCTCTGGAACTGTAAGAAGATAAATTTCTGTTTAAGTCACCCGGTCTGTGGTATTTATTATGGCAGCCCTAGCAAACTAATTCACGTACTTACTGTCCAGCTATAGTGCAATTTGACAATCTTCAAGTGAATCAGAGGTTAGACCTGTTTATATCGTGATTAGGTCTCATAGAATCAATACTCCAGATGATTACATTTATTTATTTTCAGCACTTTTAACAATGACAAAATATACCACCTTTGCATTTGATGGTGTATGTATTGACTATAGCTCTCCCATTCAATAATATAAAGCTCTATGAGGGCAGGGCTTTTTCTGGCTTCTTCCTAGATATATGTCCGATATAAATAGTACATGGTAACTAAACAACCCATCTTGAGTGGACGCATATTTTCCTTATTTTAAAAGAATGCATATTTATTGTAGAAACATTAGAAGATACAGATAAAACAAAGAACTAATGAGATTGTCTGTGATCGTATTACTAGTGAGCCAATAAAATGTTTTTGTTCTTTTAGTAGGAGACGCTTACTGGTTTTTTTTATGTTGTTAAAATATTTATAGCTTGTATGTAATTCCTTATTATTTTTAGAATACTGCTTGTCTGAAATTTTTCATATTTTAAAATGCTTATAAATTGTATTTTCTTTAAAGAGAATTGTTCAACTTCGGCAGAACACTCAATACTTCAGGATAGTTTGGGAAGACAGCAACTGCTAATTTAGCATGAAACATTGAAATTGCTACAGCTTAATTGTTTGTGTTAAATGGAAGGTAGTTATAAAGCCTCAGGAGTCTCAGAGTAGCCAAATGTATCAGTGACAGGACATTATCTCTAATATATTTGTATAGGTGGAACCAGTAATTTGTTTTCCTCATGCTTCATGTACTTAAAATCTACTTAATCTCTGTTTTTAAACTGTCAATCTTTATGTTTATTTTTAAAGCCAATTATATCTCAGAAAAGGATATTCAGGTATCACTTTAAAATTATAGGTGCTCAGCATCAGTAATGTGACAGATTGATGGATATTCAGATTTAGGCATGATCATGGTACCATTACCAAGGCTAGAGTAATTGTGTTCACTTTACGTATTTAAGAAGCACTTATATGGTGCTTAATGTCTGCCAGGAACTGTTAAATAACTTGTTTAATCATCACAACAAGCCTATAAAGTGGATAATATTGTATCAATGAGAAAATCCAGGCTCAGAGAAGTAAGGAAGTGTCTAGGGCACAGGCAGGATTCTGAGGGAAGCAGATGGCTTTGGTGTTTATGCTGAATCTCTACAGTCTGCTGCTACCTCTTCTGAACATTTGGATGGTAGCTAACATTTGTGGTGTGTACTGCGTGCCTGACCTTTTAAATGCTTTGGATATATTCATTCATTTCCTGGTAATGAGCCACCCACTGGGAGTTAAGAGGTTTGGTTTGTAGCTTCAATTTTTGACAATGAACTGAGAGTGATTTGGACTACCTCACTGCACCTCTCTGGGTGCAATTTGCTTGCAAGCTAGCAAATTTGTTAGCTTAGGTGATTTATTGCCAAACTCTCTTCTAGCTCTGAAGTTTTAGAATTTACAGTCCATCTTAAATACATATATATTTAGGTTTCTGGTTTTCAGTCTAGATTTTTCATCTCTTACAGTCTCATCCTTGAAAAACAATTTGGTTTGCACATTTATACTGATTTTTAAGTTTAAATTTGACAGAGACATATAGATGCCTTAGATTCAGATGTCATAAATCCCTTTTGGCAAACAAAACAAAAACAAAAAAATGCAAATCTGCACAAGGTAAACAAAACCCAACAATTTTGCCTTTAATCATACAGGAACCTTTAAGTAGTACCAGTTAGTGAGAGAAGCTCAGTCTTTTCAGGGATAGTTATTTGTACACAGACTTGTATGGTGCCTAAGCTGTCACGTTATGCAAATGTATCCTAATTTCCATAAGCAAAGGCATTTACAGTAAGTATTTGCATATGATATTGCTCTATGCTTATTCTGATAACGTTAATTTTTGCTTAACCCCAAGTGCTTTATAAATAATCGCTTAGACTGTTTAGAGACTGTGTTCTTGGGACTATGGTAAAGGCAGGGTAAGAAAGGTAAGATCTCTACCTATAAGTCAATGACAAGAGTATATGATGATTTTGTTAACAGTCATGATGACAAAGTCACTCTCTGTAGTCTTCTCTTGCTTTTCCATTCATCATGATCTAATGACTTAGGGCATCTTCTATCCTACAGATAACACCAGGGACAGCACTGAAATTCCGACCACACCTCATCTCTCCTCTAGAATGAAGCACATTAAACAAGAGATGGCCAAAAATCACCTTCAGTTTGTGCGATTTGAAGCAACAGACCTCCATGGTGTGTCCAGATCTAAGAGTATCCCTGCACACTTTTTCCAAGTGAGTTTTACAAGTAGAGTTATGAGTGAATGTAATTTCATGACCATGAGCAAGCAAATGGTCCTTCCTACTCTTCCTTATTTTCTTGTAATCTATACAGTAATTAAGGCTGAAAACCAGTAATTTATTTTGTTTTTTTCCCTTGTCCCTCCCCAAACACATTACTGCTCCCTAAGGGGCTGAACATACACTTTCAAGGCCCAAATAGCAATTCCTTTACCCAATAGAAATATAAAACTAATTAAGACTGGTAATTTTAGTCTTTCTGCCTTGAATAATTTCCCTCCATAGAATTATCTTTTCTCTCTTACTGCAATTATGGAGATTATATTTGGGTTGACATGAGAAAATTGCAACAGAAGACCCAAGAGCAAATATAAAATGAAAAAAAAAAAAGATTAAATAGAAAGAATTTGCTAGATAAAAAACATATCCCTTTCAGCTTCTAATTCTGATAAGAAAATACCCTATTGTTGTTGGATGACTTAATAAATACCATTAAATTCTTGAAAATATTGTATTTTGGGATATGTTTTGAGACTTTCTGAAATTTTTCTTCAGTTTATGTCATGTATTTGTTTTAATGACCGATTTATTGTGGCACTGAAACATTTGTTAGAAGGAAGGGACATCAATCAGTATTATATATGAAAGTACAAAAGTTGAGCCACCTCTAACTTTATTTCTAAGGTATAGATTATTTTTATCACTTTAATATAAAATTGTAATTTTCTCATTTGTTTTATGTTGAGAAAAAGTGGGCACCTTCAAAAATACTTTTTAGTTAGATTCTTTTTTTTTTTTTTAATTTATTTGACAGAGAGAAATCACAAGTAGACAGAGAGGCAGGCAGAGAGAGAGAGAGGGAAGCAGTCTCCCCACTGAGCAGAGAGCCCGATATGGGACTCGATCCCAGGACCCTGAGATCATGACCTGAGCCGAAGGCAGCGGCTTAACCCACTGAGCCACCCAGGTGCCCCCAAAAATACTTTTTAAAAGAATTCTAACAGGTTCAAATTTGTTTTTAAAAAATGCTCAACTTCACTCATCATCAGAGAAATGCAAATCAAAATGACAATGAGATATTACCTCACACTAGTCAGAATGGCTGGTATCAAAAAGACAAGAAATAGCAACTGTTAGCAAGATGTGGAGAAAAGGAAATCCTTGTGTACTATTGATGGGAATGTAAATTGGTGGAAACACTATGGAAAATCACAGGATGAGGGTTCCTTAAAAAATTATAAGTAGAAATACTATACCATCCATTAATTCTATTACTGAGTATTTACTCTGATAAATGAAAACACCAATTTAGAAAGATATATGTACCCCTATGTTTATTGCAGCATTATTTATAATAGCTAAGATATGGAAGCAGCCCAAATATCCATTGATAAGTGAATAGATAAAGAAGACGTGGTGTTTATATGCAATGGAAAATTTCTCAGCCATAAAAAGGATGAGATCTTGCCATTTGTGACAACATGGATGGAGCTAGAGGGTGTTAGGTTAAGTGAAGTAAGTCAGGCAAAGAAAGACATATATTATATGATTTCACTTACATGTGGAACCTAAAAAAACAAAACAAAACAAATGAACAAACAAACTGAAACAGACTCATGAATGCAGGGAACAAACTGATTGTTTCCAGAATGGGTGAAGGCAATTAAAAGGTACAAAACTTGCAGTTAGAATTAAGTCACAGGGATGAAGAGTACAGCAAAGGGAATAGAACCAATAATATTGTAGTAACATTGTATGGTGATAGACGTTGGCTACACTTATCTTGGTGAGCACAGTATAATGTGTACAATGGTCGAATCACTGTGGTGTACACCTGAAACTGATAAAATATTTATGTCAACTCTACTTAATAATAATAATGAAAAAAAAAAAAAAGGAAATGGACCCCCCAAATTTGTCTCTTAAGAAATCCTTTAGACCTGCTTGCAGACATTATTTTCTCTTCATCCATGCAAGAATACATGTTGGTTAATTTTGACAAGAAAATGTGAAATTTCCTGTGAACGGGCCAAAAATCTAATTTATACGAATTTCTTTCAATCAATAAGAAAACACAACTGACACCTCAGGCACTTGCCAGAGACCTCAATATAAAACTGCTTGCTATTCAGTTTTTGTCAAATCTCAATCATTTATTCCACTAATGGCATCTCAAAGCTACATATTTAGAGTATTATTCTAGTTCCTCGAAGAAACTCTTTTATGAACATATAATTTAATATGCTCCCTCCACTTGCTGGGGATTGATAAAATTGACATAAAAAGAAAATGTCGGCAATTCTTTTTAAAAATACTATTGAAAATACTTTCCATTATCTCATTCAATGTCCAATGTATTAGAATCAATTTTTTTCTTCTGGAGTTTATTCAGGGAAAAAGTTTGTCTATCATAAGAATTTTAATATAACTTATCATACTTCTTCTCATTTGCTGTATTTATTTTTTGTCTTAATTTGCAAATACAAACTCACTTTCTCCTTTTATTACCTAGTCATTATTTTATTCTTATTTAATGATTATAGAGTATCTATTTATTTTTTAACAAAGCACTTTGAATTCATTTTGGAACTTGTGAAGGTATAGGTAATAGTGAATATTTACATCATGAGTATTTGTAATTAAAAATTAAATTATTCATTTTGTGAAATTCATTGCAAATGGACATAAAAAATAAGTTCAAGTGTGCAAAACAATATGAACAACATGAGTCTGATATAAATACAATTCTGTATGGAGAACTCATTAAACGAAGAGTGGATCCATGATTTGAATTTGCCTATAACATAGTGAAAGTAATTTCAATCTTTCTAAAGTAATTTTTAAACCTTTTTCTATTTGTGGAAAATAAAATGTCAATTTAAAAATTATTGTTAGACCATGCAAGGAAATACAGGAGGTAATATAACCCATCTTCTTCATTTATACATGAATGAAGGGAGGCCCAGAAAAGTTAAGGAAAGTGTTCTCAAACTACACAGGCAATTACAGGCAGAGTTGGGATGTCCACCTCTGATTCTTCACTTCCAGTTACAATACTCCTCCTTCCCCTTCTCCTCCTCCTCCTTCTTTTCCTTTTCCTTTTTTTAAAAAATTATTTATTTAACAGAGAGAGAGATCACAAGTGGGCAGAAAGGCAGGCAGAGAGAGAGGGGGAAGCAGGCTCCCTGCTGAGCAGAGAGCCCAGTGCGATGCGGGGCTCTATCCCAGGACCCTGACATCATGACCTGAGCTGAAGGCAGAGGCTTAACCCAGTGAGCCACCAAGGCACCCCAGATGGTATCTACTTTTTAAAGAAAACTTATCATATGCCTGGCACTGTGCTAAATGCCTTACAAACATTAGCTGATTAAACCTTACAACCAACTGTCTCTGTTCTAGCAAAAGACTAGTTTTTATTTAAATTATATGCAGATAAAGTAGATTCTTTCTATCTTTGATCTAATCAAAACATGATGTATTGCAGCAGAATTTATAACTAATTCTTCGGTGGCCTTTACTGTGATCCAAATTTCAGTTATTGTAGAGATTTGAGCTATTATGCTAGAGTTTTTATTGAATCCCTGGTGATCTATATTAGAGTGTGAAGTTGTCCCAGTACTTTGTATTTATAAACACTTGTGAAGATAACTTCATTAGTTGTCATGAGCAAGACATGTTTATGTATATTTATATATTTCCCACTACTAATAAAGAGTCGTTTGAATTCAGAATGTTCAAAAAAGAACAAAGAAAATGACAGTGTTAAAAAAGAGTGCTCAGAAATATACAGATTAAATAGTTTGAAGAACAAAGTGCGACTTTTTCCTATTCTTTAAATCTGTGAAGACCTAGCGGAATGAAATGTAACAAGTTCTTCCCTATTGTTCACAACCAGGTGAATACAAACACAGATTTCAATTGCAGGAACTCTTGGAAATCTCCTGAATAAAATACATTACCCTTTGTTTTAGGGATATACAGAACTAACATATGGATTTCCAAACTAAAATTGAAAAGTAAGGAAATATCATTATTTCTTATAGTAAAAATTCAAATGAAAGGATTTCATACTAAAGTACTCTGAAATGCCACAATGCCTCTATGTGTGTGTGTGTGTGTGTGTGTACAGGTCATTGAGGGAACTGAAAAAATTAAGCAGGCACTGAATAGTGCTTGACTTTCTCAACTTTATTACTGGCAAAAGCAGATTTGGATCAGTCAAGTCAAATGGCATTTGAAAGTATTTTTGTACAGATGTGAGGAAGTGTGGGGGCTCACGGTCAAAGGCAGAAGAGGGACCAGTAGCGTGGTCCCTGTTAGCATCTGTCTTTGGTAGCCATGCTCTTTGGGACTGGAGGTAATAGAAGAAACAATTTGGCTTATAGAATGTTAGCATGTTAGCCATGCTCTTTGGGACTGGAGGTAATAGAAGAAACAATTTGGCTTATAGAATGTTAGCATGTCATGATACGCACTGACATAATGGGAACCAAACCTTACAGTTAGCTTCTCCCCTACCATTACTGTAACCTTCAACGCATGAAGCTTTGTTATATTGCTATGACATAATTTCTAGAAACCGTTTTAACATGTCTGCTCAACTTAATAACCTCATCATGTCCCTATTGTCTGGCACATAGCAAAAGTTAAATGAATGACCAAATACACGGACCCCAAGAGGTCTATGGCTAGAAAGTGCCTTAGCAACCATAGAGCCTAACACGTTTGTTACACAGACATGGAAGCCGACTCACTCGGTCCAGTGATTTGTGTAACTTCACTCAAGTGATGAATGAAAGAGTTAGGCCTAGAAGTCAGACTTGTTGACAGTTCGTGGCTGACTTGAAGGCGATAACACGTTTTGGAACTATAGCTTTGGAGATCTAAGTCCACGCTCACAGGCCAAGTTTCAGGGACTGTGAGGCTGTTATGTATTCATTCTTAGTGGGTTGTATAAGTGGATGAAGAGAGGAGTGCAGCTGTCAGCAGCCCTGGGACCTCTGGATGACAGACCAGGGTCCTTAGGATGACTATTGTGTGTGTCCTAGGACTGACCACTGTTAAGTTCCTGGAAGGACTGAAGATTTTCAGTTAACTATAGGGATTACAACAAAATAAGCCAAAAATAAAACCTTAGCTGAGATATTAGCAACTATGCCATAAAATAAAAAGTGCTTTAAAAAGAACTAGGTTATGATCATTTCAAACAATTTCACAAGGCTTTACCTTTGTCATTTGCTATAAAGACATTTCTTTTATTATTGTACCTTTTATTTAAGGATTGCTATTTTCAGATCCCAAAACATATAAAGCCTTCCAGGCTAAAAATATTAAGAGTTGTTTATAAAAGTAACTCGGGATTTATTTTAAAATATTTTAAATTTGGGGGCCCCTGGGTGGCTCAGTTGGTTAAGCAGGCAACTCTTGGTTTCAGCTCAGGTCATGATGTCAGAGTCGTGGGATCAAGTCTGAGTGGGGGCTCCCCATCAGCAGGGAGTCTGCTTGAGGAAACTCTCTCTCCCATTCGTCTGCCCTGGCCCTCAGCGTGTCTCTGTTTCTCTCAAATAAATAAATACTATCTTTTTTTTTTTAAGATTCTATTTATTTATTTAACAGACAGAGATCAGAAGTAGGCAGAAGTAGGCTGAGCAGAGAGCCCGAAGCAGGGCTTGATCCGAGGACCCTGAGATCATGACCTGAGCTGAAGGCGGAGGCTTAACCCACTGAGCCACCCAGGCTCCCCTAAATAAATACATCTGAAAAAAAAAAAATATTTAGAATTTATTTGATATTAAGCTAATGTTAACCAATGGATGTGAAAGACATTTTTTTTCCCTCATGAGCAATGTGTCTCCCCCACCCCCACCCTTTCCTTTGCTTTCAAGCGTCCAAACCTGATTGCTCTGACCTTTAATTTCCTCAGGAAAAAGTGATCCACGGCGTCTGCATGCCCCGAGGTTATCTGGAACTGATACCGAATCCTAAGGACGATGAAGTCGATCACATAAGAGCAACGTGTTTTAATAGTGACATCGTCCTGATGCCGGAGCTCTCAACCTTCCGGGTTCTGCCATGGGCTGAGAGAACTGCCAGAGTGATATGTGACACGTTCACTGTGACTGGGGAGCCTCTTTTGACTTCCCCACGGTACATCGCCAAAAGGCAGCTGACCCAGCTGCAGGACACTGGCTTTTCCCTGCTCTCCGCCTTCATCTATGATTTTTGCATTTTTGCTGTGCCCGAAATTATCAATTCAAAGACCATCTCTTTCCCTGCTTCAACACTGCTAAATAATCATGACCAGCCTTTCATCCAGGAGCTCGTTGATGGTTTGTATCACACTGGAGCCAATGTCGAGAGTTTTTCCTCCTCTACCAGGCCCGGTCAGATGGAAATCTGTTTTTTGCCCGAATTTGGCATCAGTGCAGCTGATAATGCATTCACCCTCAGAACAGGTGTCAAAGAAGTTGCGAGGAAATATAATTACATCACCAGCTTTTTCATCGAGACCGGATTCTGCAATTCAGGAATTTTGTCTCACAGTCTCTGGGATGTCGGGGGGAAGAAAAATATGTTTTGCAGCAATTCTGGAGTCGAGGAGCTCACGATCACTGGGAAAAAATGGTTGGCAGGGCTCTTGAAGCACTCTGCTGCTCTCAGCTGCCTGATGGCTCCTGCTGTTAGCTGCCGGAAGCGTTATTCCAAGGAGAGTAAACACCTCAAGGAGAGTGTGCCTACGACATGGGGATACAATGACAACAGCTGTGCTTTTAATATCAAGTGTCACGGTGAGAAAGGCAGCCGGATAGAAAATAAACTGGGCTCCGCGACTGCAAATCCATACCTGGTGCTGGCGGCGACGGTTGCTGCGGGCTTGGATGGACTTCAAAGCAGTGACGGTGTCCTGGCCGGTCCCGATGACAGCACGGACTTCTGTCAGGCCAAATCTGCCAAGATCCCTTTGAAACTAGAAGACGCTCTTGTAGCACTGGAGGAAGATCAGTGTCTGAGACAGGCCCTGGGGGAAACTTTCATTCGCTATTTCGTTGCCATGAAAAAATATGAGCTGGAAAATGAAGAAACAGATGCTGAGAGAAATAAATTCTTAGAATATTTTATTTAGACTAGAACCCTTAACTATTCTTTTGGAGATGTGTTTTTTAAGTAGCTGATCTCCCAGGAAGAAAAGATTGGATTTTTATAATCAACGACAGAAGGACTACATAGGCTTTCGCTCTTTTTTGTCCCAATGGAATATTTGACCGATGAAGTGGGACTGCTGAGAGGATTCTGATAGTAGAAGCAAACAATAAAGTTGTGGTGCAGCTGTAATATGCAGATTTCCCAGGTCTTGTTGGTCAGTCATCGTTTCTGCTGTTTATGTTGACCTAGAGAGAAATATTCAGTTATTTCAGGCAACAGATACATTCATATAATAAAGAAGTCTTAAGAATTACAAAGCAAAATGTAAATGACTGAAAAAAAGAAGAATTTCAATTATACACATACATTGTGACTGCCAGGGAGACAAAAATGCTTACTCATACAGTTTCAGTAATCTAGATAAATAGAGCTCTGTTACCTGCCCTTTCCCAATCCTTCTGCCATTACCCCTCCCATTGGCTCACCTGCCAGGAATGTGGCTAGGGGAACACTCTTGGGAATGGAGCTCATGCAAGATGGAATAACAAGGAGGAAGCTCTGCTTTATGGAGCAAAACTTGCCAGAATCATTGGGATCTTTCTAAATATGTAAGTTTTCAAAAATATGTCATGATGACGAGTAGAAGGTTTCCCAGTACATCCCTTCTTTGTACCCTTCTTTACTGGCTCCTGAAAGTCCTGGGAAGTTCAAGCCTACGATGTCCACAAGAAACAAATCCATAAGAAATAAAATTTGATGGAGAACAATGAGGTCAAATATTTGAAAGTCATGAAAATTTTTCTTTAAACAATAGCTCATATAGAACCCCAGATATAAAACACAGGTGGAATGGGTGTGTGCTGGGGGATACGTGGGCTCTTCATGCTTTGTTCTGTTCTTCAAAGCTATGATTTCAAAGGCACCTGTAGTGCTTTGTGAAGTGTGAGAACAACAGTCTTCATAACCAGGGCTATGTTTGCAGCTTAAATATATATTTAAATGAGTGGTTCTGCTGCCCACAGAGGTCGCTATGTCCCCAAGAATATTAAATGTTCCAGACCTTCATTTGAATGAGATAATATTGTAATTATCACTAAAGTTTAGCCTCTTTGGGGAAGAAATCCAAAATCCACTGACTAGCAAATGAAAACCCTATTCTCTTGCTTAGGATCAAACAGGAGATTTTATGTTCAATTAAAACTGACAGTGGTCTCAATTTAGATAGCAAACACAAAAGCAGAGGATTAGACCTGGCTCAGATCCTCCTATTTGAATTTGTAGTACCCAGTAGCTTAAGTAGGAAAAGTAATCTGTCCTTCACTAATTGCTCCCCTCTTTGCTCCTCTGAGCAGAAGAAGTGTGTCTGGATACATAAGAATAATATTCTTGGTGGATTAAAAGGTAGAGGAAAAGGTAGAGCAGGGTGGGTGGAGAAGGAAAGGAATTTGCCCTGAATGGTCTGAGTATGAAATTCCTCTCATTCTGTCATGGGAAGGATAATTGGGAGGAACCAACCCCATGACGGCTTGCTAGTTATTTGCCAATACCCATTCTCCCTCTGTTCTCAGGAGTACCATCTAAATGTGTCAGTTGGGAACACACTATGGAAAATAAAATCACATTTCTGAGTTCCCACTGGGGCTGAGCGTGGCTGTGTTATTAGAGTCAGGCCAAAGAGCTGTAAGTAGAAGTGTTGTATGGAAGCTCTAGGAAACTTCTTTGAAGGACAGATACTCTGTTTCCTGCCCTTTCTCTATCCTTCTGCCTTTGCCCTTCCAGTTGGCTAACCTGCAGGTGTTGTGGCTAGAGTAATGCCCTTGGGAATGGAGCCCATCTACAGTGGAGTAACAAGGAAAAAGCTCTGCCTTGTGAAGCAGAGCTCGATTTGCCTACATTCAAATTTTTACCTGGGAGAGAAATAAACTATCTGCTTTAAGGCACAGTGATTTTGTGTCTTTGTTATTGTGACAAAACTTACCTTCCTTCCTGCTTCTGTGACTGTGTGTATATGCATGTGTGTGTCTGCGTGAGTGCACATGTCTCGGTGTGTGTGTATGTATGTGTGTGGGGAAATATTTGAGGCATTTGGAGATGAAAGAATAAAGATAGAATAAACAGTGAAAGACCATTTCCTCAATCTTTCCACATTTTTTTCTTTTTGAGAGAGACAGAGAGCAAACATGTCCTTGTATGCAGGAGAGTGGGCAGAAGGAGAGGGAGAGACATAGTCTTCAGCAGGCTCTTGCTGGTCATGGAGCCTGATGATGTGGGGCTTGATCTGGGGATCTTGAGATCATGACCTGAGCCGAAATCAAGAGAGGCAGTCACTTAACTGATTGAGCCACCCAGGTGCCCCTTAATCTTTCTGCTTTTTGAGAGAGAATCTGAATTAGAGCGATCCACACACATTAAAAAAAACAAAACAAAACAAAACAAAACAAAACAAAAAAAAACAAAAAAACAAAACTGTACTCTCTCCCAGCCTAACAGAGCTGTATAGACAACTTGGTCATCCATGGGCCTTCATGAAACATGGCTAGTGCTTTGGTTTGGCTTTTCCACAACAAATAAAAGATGCTATAAAAATTCTGCTAATCAAGTTGTTTGTAGCCCCCCTCCCTTACATCCTATTGGCATAACTTAAAACAACACAATACTCAGGGTGGCGGTGTGTGGGAATTATGTAACTAGGAATAATACCTTCAGTGTTAATTGTACCACAGTGAGTTGACAGAAAATATTCAGCCATGTGTTATCAATCAGTTGGTGTGGCCATCTTAGCAGAGATTTCCCTTAGGTGTGTGCTGATGTATATTGTTTTGTAAGGTAAACCCAAAGTAAACATGGGCCAAAGTTAGGGGGCTAAAGAAATACTGGGTAGATGTAAAACATTCAATCATCTGTCTTTTCTATTTCATTTATCTGTTCACAGGCTTTCTATTTCAGAGGGGAGTTTTTAAAAAAAATGTTATTTATTCATTTGAGAGAGAATGAGAGAACACCAGCGGTGGAGGGGAGGGTGTGCAAGCGGTGGGCAAGGGGAGGAGGGGGGAGGGAGGGGCGAGGAAGAAGCAAACTCCCTGCTGAGCAGGAAGCCTGACGTAGGGCTTGATCCCAGGACCCCGATCATGTCTTGAGCCAAAGGCCGACACTTAGTCAACTGAGCCACCCAGGTGCCCCTCTAAGGGGGACTTTCTACTGATGCCTTTACCTTTTTAGCCTCAGCAAGAGAGCCAGATACTCACTCAACAGCATTTATTTGGTACATTTTGTGTACTAAGCCTTTGTACCAGGCTTGACTCAGAAAAAGATGAGCAGACAATGAAAGCGTTTTGGATCTGTTTATCTTCAGCAGAATAGAATCTTTTTTTTTTTTTTTTTCTTGGTAGACCTAATGCTGAAAAAAACTATTTGGAAGGCAGCTTTATGGCTTGAAAAGGATGCTCTATGAATCTCTTTACAGAAATTACTTTCTTATTTTCATTTACTATAATTGTTCTAATCAAAGCTTAGGGGAAAATGTGATTACTGAATTTAAAGTTGGTTATTAAATGAGTATACATAAGAAATGTAAATGAAAAACTATAATGTTTTAAGACTAGAAACTAAAACATTAGTATCATAGTGAGAAGTTTCTATTTTCAAGGACACTTTATGATCTAAAATTTCATTTTACAGTGTCTGAATAATAACGAAGCTTGAAATGATGATTTGAAGGCAATGAAAGATCTGAAAACTTTAATATGAATAAAAATTGAAAGTGCACCGTAAGGTCTGAACTTATCAGCAATGTACAACAGTTTACTGACTCACCTCTGGTCTCCTGTTTCACAAAATAGACTTTCCAATATGTTTGCATTGTAGGTATTATTGGACAATACCTTTAATCTTGGATTTCCTATTCGAAGTGTCTCCAAACATTACATACGTACACAATGGCCTACATCTTCTGTTAAAGTGTTTCTCAGATTGCCTGTAGTGGGCAGGATGGATTTCCCAAGTAGGATGTGAGTTCCAAGAATGAAGGGCACAAATCTTATTATTATTTGTGTTTATATTTTTTATTCCTTGCAAATGTTCTGGAATTCAATACATGTTTAATCAACCAACCAATCATTCAATCAATGCATACGGGATAAGCAGAATACAGTTCTATGTACAGTATAATACTGTCACACATATTCTCATGCCCAGAGAGAGTAGCAAGTAAAAATGGGGACAGCTGAGAGTCGATGATGTGTGTGTGTGTGTGTTTAAAGATTTTATTTATTTATTTACTTAACAGAGAGAGGGAGAGAGAGACAGCAAAAGAGGGAACACAAGCAGGGGGAATGGGAGAGGGAGAAGCAGGCTTCCTGCAGAGCAGGTAGCCCGATGTGGGGCTCGACCCCAGGACCCTGGGATCACGACCTGAGCCAAAGGCAGAAGGTTAATGACTGAGCAACCTAGTGCCCCCTGATTTGTGGTTTGTTATTAGCCCTGAAATTTCTGCCATTAGATGAATTTCTTCAGCTTCTCCATTTCTAGGAACTCTTGAGTAAACAATTAGATCATCTTGCTGGGGATCATAAAAACAGAGAACAGAGTGGAGTAGTCATCATGCTTTTTGGCCACACTGAATCCTTCAGTAACTTTGTTATATTTGTAGAATCCCTCACCTTTTGTCTCCTGTCACCCAAGGTGGAAGTTAGAACCTCAGTTTTCCAGGTTTTCTTGCAGTCGTGGTGCAGACTCTGTCAATCAGATGCAATCATTCAACCCTCATGGACTCCACTTTGGGTAGATCTGAGGAGGGAGCAGTGACAGAAATTCCTGTGGTAGCATCCTGGGGTGGCGTTGGTGGGACAGTTTTTGGTGACAGTGGCTTAGGGTCTCTGTGCAACAGTCAGTGTAGCTTCTAAACCTGATTTTCTGAACCTCCCAGATTCTGTGACTTACCTAATATCTCTTAATAAATTCATTTTTCTGCTTAAAATAGCTAGAATTTGCAAAAAGACCCAAAGACAGTACATAAGGGGAAAACTTTGATAAGGGGAAAAGGGATAAAAGGCAGAGAGTGTGTCTTAATATGAAGAGTAAAACAAGTTAATGTTTATATTAGATTTAGATTAAACAAAGTTTTATTAGGTTTCATGTACCAAGCATCATCAGGGATGCTCTCATACTTGCTGCCTCATTTGACAGTCTCTACAATTTCAGGAGCATGGCATGCTCATTGTTGTAGGTGTAAGAGAGGTAAGACTCAAAAGTTAAGTGTTGGCAGAACTGAGGATCCAATCCAGCCTTCCATCCTTGGAGCATCATGGTCTCTGTGTTCTACCCAAATGTCATTCCCTACACAGTTCCAGCCGAGAACAACCCTGAAAAT